CCAAATCAAACCCACAACAAGGAGGCTTCTTTTACCCATCTTGTACAGTATTATCCAAACGTAATTGAGTGGTTGGTTTTCACAATGATGTGGATTTTGTGACCCTTATGGCTTTAGATTGCCAGTTATCCCAACTTTTATCTCCAGCAGGGTCTCGGTGTTTTCAGATCTGCTTTGTATGTGGTGGCTTTCTACATGTGCTCTCTGCCACTGTCTTTACTAGAAGAACCCTGAGAAGTTGAATGGGCCCCGTGTTTTAACCAGAGCAGCTACATCAGGCATCTTCCCAATGGATTTCAGGTTCTTGCCTTTTTAAAACCTGGGGGGAAGAGACGCCCTGTGGGGCTGCCTGGTTCTGCGTTGTGTTACTGTCAGCCCGTGCCATGGGATAGAGCCCCTCCAGCTTCCATTACAAAGAATTGGAAGTTACTTTGTTCAGTTTGAGGTTTTTTCCCTCTCTCTCTCAAAGGTCAGGTGCGCATTGCAGACAGCACCGATTCATTGAAAGTCAAAGAATGTAGCTATCCAGACGGTAGTTCTGATTTCCTAAGTGTTCAAAGCAATGTGTTAAAGGTCTCTTTCTTATTCCTTAATGTAATGGTGCATGGTGACGTTAGTCACCTTTTGTCATGTTTATATAGCTTCTTTCCCTTAATTGCTATGACAAATTCATTTGCAAAACCTCTGAGGTGGCTTGTTGACTTTTTACATGAAAGAAAGGTGGCCTTTCTGACCAAGGCCTAAAAACAATCCAAGTCCACAAAATCTTGAGTATTATTAGTGCCAAAGCCTGCTCTGTATTTGTCATAAAATTCTGTCCTGTAATTCTTTGCTTTGGGTAAATAGGTCACTAGATAAGATTGACAACAGCATCAGCAATGAAAGGTTTTAAGCTGGAAACTGGAGAAGAAAACTGAGCAATTTCTTTCAGGAGAAATTACATTGATGTTATTTGTTATTGCTATGGCTAAAGATCTGTTGGCTTTCCAATTTAAAACCTTGCTTTCCAGAAGACTAAAATCATATATTTCAAGGCAGAACTTACAATGCAAAGAACCTTTTTTCCTGCCAGATCTCTGATGCGAAGGTCACTCGCAGTTCCCTATCACCCTGGGAAGAGCAGGAAAACATTAGTGGTGGGTTGTTGTCTTAGTATCTCCAAAATGGAGAAACTGGTCAGGCCAGACAACACTGGTGTGGTGACATTAACTCTTTCAGAATTGCATAGCCAATATGTGGTCGTTGATCAACCCCGTTCTCACATCTGCATCTAAGAAGTGCTATGCCTGAGTAACTTAAAAAAACAAAACAAACAACTTTATAATAGATTTTAGAAGAAGCTTCAGAAATACCTTGAAACTTCCTATTTGAAGAATATGAAATTTCAGCAAAATGCTGGTGATAAGAGGATAGCACAATATTTCTTTCTGCTAACTACTAAACTGGCATTGAAAGTGAAAAGCTACAAAATACTAATACTTTCTAGAGTATTTTTTCCATATTAGCTATATGAGGTGGAATAGGCAGGTGAGTCATCACTGGGATGGCTGTTATTCAGAAGTGCCAAAGCATTGACAGAGACATTCAGATTCAAGTATCTCCTTGGGTATTTTGGTAGCTTGTTGGCTGGTGAAATTGGACCCTTCCACATCTTTCCACTGTTGGGCAGAGGTGGTCTCAAAGTCTGTGTTGGTGAACGTTTGAGTATCTCTTTAACAATCTGAAAAATGTATATTGTCAGCATGCAGGTGAGAATTTCAATGTGCTTTGTTTGCAAAGGTTAATTCATATTTGATTTAAGGTTGGGGTTTTTTTCCTGCCTGTACTATTGTGCCAGGCTCGTCTTGTTATGACAGTCTGTCAGCTCAGGAATGACAATGCTTGTAAGGGCTGGTGTTTTGGACAGAACCAAGGGAACAAGCAAGAAACAGGGAGGGTACAGAAAGATTGTAGCAGTGAGAGTCATGCTGTCAGCTTCTCCAGTCACCCAAATTTATCTTGCTTGTCCTTGTGCATTTCTGATGAAAAACTGGGAATAAAGATGAGAAACACAAAATTATGCCCAAGTTCTTTTTTTCTTTTTTTTGGAAGCTATGATGGCAGTGCACGCCCCACATGCAAAAATCAGTGTGAAAAATAAAAGCATCTGCAAAACCAGGATTGTCTTTATCCTTCCATTGCAGTAGCGATACAGATTGTGTCATGGCTTGCATAA